CGAACGGGAAGAATGCGACAGAACTACCTTTTGATGCGTTTGAGATTCCTTTAGAAAATCTGTCTGGTTTGAACTCTTTGGCATCATCTCCCCAGAAGCGTTCATCATGGTGCATCATAAGTATTGGTAAGCTAATTCGTACTCCTTTGGGAATTGACAGATTTCCAAGTTTCATGTCTTTTTCAACATACCGCTCCACCCATGCTACTGGTGGATATAACCTCAAAGCCTCATACAAGATCATTGTCACCTGTAATGCATGCTTCATTTTAAGCATAGCCATGTTTGAGGTCAAAAAATATGATCAATTTAGTTAAAAGATATATTATATGTATATGCTTACAATCTTAAGGCTACTTAGCGCATCAAAGTCTGGCTTTTGATTGCCAAAGACTTGCAGGACTTCTTCCCTCGCACGTGCTTGCCAGTCAGGATACATGCTCAATAGCATCATAGTCCAAGCCAATAAAGAAGAAATGGTTTCTTGGCCAGCCAGGTAGAACAACTTGCACTCACCAATCACATCTTTCATACTCAACCCAACATTCTTCTTATTTCCTTGTTCTTCAATCTCCTTGTGATTGGATTCTAGAAGGATGCCTAGTAGGTCATCCTTTGTGGCTTGACCTGCCTTCACGGCTTCCTTCTTTTTGTTGATAATGCACTCTAGTGAAGCTTCCATGTTTCTTTCATTTTGCTTCATCCTCTTGTTATCGTTAGTTGGTAGAAACCTTCAAAACGATTCTGTCAGTACTTATGCGCAAGTCACGTGTATAAATCACAAACACTTGATTTTCAGCTCATATGGCATATTATAGTCTGAGTAGTTATTCAATTAATTACCTCCATAATGGAATGCCATGTTTCTGAAAGTTATTGGCTACAAGTTCAGCTTGTTCTGATAGAATATCAAATATTTGTCTGCCTTCTTCGTAGCTGCTTCCGAATGCTGCTCGAGAAATCACATCCTTTGTCAAATCCTGGAGCCAGGGAAAGACATCCACTTCAAAGTTCCATCTGCTGGGGACAACATGTTCTCCCATTTGTTGATCATATCATTACAACTTTGGCAAGCGACTGGAATCAGAGTCTATGGAGAGACGATGAAGAAATTTAGAGACAAAATTCTCAGTTTAATTTGTAAGTAGATGTGTAAGTGCAGTTTAATTTGGCGAGGAAAGAAAAATATATAACCTTCAATTTTTCCAAAATGAATGCCGGATTGATTATCTTCCTGTGGCTAGCCCACTTGTCGCCATTGTAGCTTGCAACACCAGCTGATAGATATTTGATAATAGAAATCATGGGTAGTTTTACAAAGTCGTAGTTATTGTTGAGCACATTTTTTTCGAGCTCAGGATCCGTAAGGATCAACCTCGGTGTCGGTCCGTACCACATGAAGGGATTCTTTCCTGCAGTTCAAATTTTTTATGAATATAAGGATGGAAGGAAATGATTATTTTTCTATTTAATGATCCCAAACGTTCCTGTCAAGTTATCTGTGTTGCTTTGTCAATAAACCAAATCAATATCCATCAACGACCAAATCATCATCAGGTTTGTCCACGTGAAGCTATTTTTTCTTGGCACGTGTCTTCTTTTTGCCAGCATTGGCTTCTTCTCTGCTTTGATATTTTCATTTGCAATTCGTCAATTTGCCTGTTTATCATGGCTTATGTAGACCACAAATTCATGAGACAGGCTGTATACAATATTGAATAATTTTATTATATTTTTAAAAGTAATTCTTTAAGCTAATTTTTTTAAATCAAAATTCAAAATATGGATAGAATCATATACTCTTCTAGTCTTATTTATAAATTACTTCTAACATGTTTTATATAAATTAAAAAAAACACTAAATTTTATTAATCCTCATTTAAAATTTAACAACTTTTTAATTCATTCATATTGAATATACATTATGCTTCATGTAAAAAAAAATTAACACAATAATAAATAAAAGATAAAATTATACATTCATATAAAAAATTTCTCTTACTGTCTTATAAATAAGAAAAAAGATTTTTTCTTTCTGCTCTATAAATAAGACCAAAGAAATATATCTTTTAAATTTTGTATTACTATTTATTTAGAGTTTCGGGAGCATGAGAGTCCGTTAAGATAATGCATATGTGCTCCACATCGCCCTTTAACCTTTAATTTAAACTCAAGTTTATTTTTTTTTTCCAATTATATAATATTTCATATTCTTTTCTTAATATGAAAACTATGTAACTGATTTGAGAAGATTAAAAAAATTAACTAAGTTAATTAATTATAATAAATATGTATTGATTGCTCTAAGCTGCGTAAACTACTCTCTTTCATCTTATGCATTAGATCTATTAGGAATATTGTAGATAAAATATTTTAAATCTGAGAGATTTGAGGCATTTATGACAAAATTCAATTTGAACTAATTCTCATGTTAAATATGAGAAATAGTGTGTATGCATATGTAAATGTACCTATATATACATATATATATATATATATATAACCTTGATATTCTAATAATTTTATCAGAGAGTAAGGGTTATGTAAATTGGGAAGAAGATCAACCAACTGAGAGGAGATGGTGAAAATGAGGAGAGTGAAAAGAGAGGAATAAAAGCGCACCGTGTCTGGTGACCAAGTGGTGGTCGAAGGGCAAGACGCAGGGGACCACGTCATGGGAATGAGAAGGCAAAGGGCTGGACGTAGCTTGTTTCTGCATGTTGGCCATTCTGGTGAGGTCACCCACCCAGAATCGATAAGGATGGCCCCTAAGACCTTCCTCTCTCAGACGCCTCTCCATCTTCTTCGGATCCACCCACACCCACTTCGCCATCTTCCAAACCCACCATCCTCCGCCTATCACCGCCATTACTGCAACTGCACCCACCACTGCTATTATTCCTGATGCTTCCCTCTCTCTCTCTCTCTCTCTCTCTCTCTAACCCTCAGTGTTTGTCTGTCTCTGCTTGGCTTGGATGGTGTCTGCTTATGTATATATAGTAACTAGATTTTTACTCCCCCCACCCCCATGCGATGCACGGGAGACATTAAAAATTAATGAGTTCATGGGGAAAGTAACTTCAGTCACCTTTTTTATATAATTTTATTTACTTTTTCCATGCCATCTGCACTAATTGTGTTAAGTTCACTTTTTATAAGATCTCATTTATAATCTATAAACAAAATTTTATAATTAGGACAGAGCGGAAGTAGTATTTGGCAAATGATATCTTCATCGAAGGTCCTACATACATATAATAAAAACATTGAGACGAATATAATTATACTATTTCTCTACTTTCCATTTAATAAATTTATAACTCAGAATCTTGTCTTTTCCCTTTTAATCATTTAAGAAATCAGCTAACCCAAATTTTATTTACAGCTCAACAGTTCTTTGTTTTTGTTTTTAGGGTGTCACAACTCGAACTGTCTACACTTAAAACTGCAGAGTCTAGAGACCTATCCCTCGCCTTACTTATATGGAATGAAAAAAATAGATATTATTTTTTTAAAAAATTAATTATATTCATATTCCCTCAATGATATATCATATTAACTAATTTAACTAATATTACTAATTAACTTAAATTAAATAGGAAAAATTAATCTTTTGGTTCTTATGGTTTTCACTCATTTGTAACTCAATCCTTATACTTTAATTTGGTGTAGCTTAGTTCTTATAATTTTGACTCGGTTGTAACTTAGTCCATGAAGTTTGACTCGTTACAACTCAGTCCCTATACTTTTAATCATTTTATAATTTAGTTCCTCCTTTTATTAGATATTTAATTTCATTTTTTCAAAAACAAAAAAAACTAAATTATAAAATAAGTAAAACTATTGGGACTGAGTTACAACGGGTCAAATTTCAGAGACTGAATTATAACTGCATCAAAACTATAAGGACTAAAGTGTATCGAGTCAAAGTATAAGAATTGAGTTCTAAACACATTAAAATTACAAAGACCAAAAAATTAATTTTTTTAATTGATTAATTACATGTTATGTTAGAGACCGGAGCATTTGTAATTTTATTCATGTACATTGTATTGACGTAATTACACGAGAAAGGAAAATGCGCACGCTCACCCCTGACGCATTTTCTCTATGCACCACCCGACAAAACGTGACAACATTCACTTTTTGTATCATGACAGCTTTTGCGTCGTCTTCTGAATATTGGGGAAAACGTACTCCCCAAATATAAAATTTTTTAACAAAAATCTGAAGAGATTAAGAAAATAAGTTAAATTAGTTATTTATAATAAATAGATGTTGTCTTTTCTAGAATATTCTTATTAATCAAGTTTATTGGCTAGAACTTTCATTATTAGAGTGGCTACCTTGAAAAAAAATACACAAATATAAGAGACAAAATAAATTGGGATCTTATAATTAGGATCAAATAAAATTCAAACAAAAGTCTCATATTAAGGACCAGGGGCAGTAATATTTAGTGATGTTTTATCGATATTCAAGAGCTCAATATCATCATTTTTTTGTTAAGGTTCTAGGATTAAATGACTAAAAGTTTACTTTTTAAAGTTAAGAGACTAAAATAATACTTTGTGTAAAGTTAAAGGACTAAAGTACTATTATATATATTGCATTATTAATATTTTAATTCTGAAAATTACATATTACAAAATAAAAATAATTTACCATTAAAAATATAAATATAAACGTGGACCGTCCAGATCTTGTCGTACTGCTCCCCAAAAAAAAAAACCCCGCGGGGGGTTCGGGGGCGCCATTTCGGAGGCCTCCCTCACCATTTTCTCGTAGAGGTCCAAAACAGGGGAGGAGTTCTAAGTGGATTATTCTCCTAGTATTTCAATGCCTAGACGTGTTCATAAGTGTTTGGAGGAGTAGAATTAAATTCATATACTATGCTAACATAGTATATATGGATTGTTCTGAACTAATACACAAGCCAAATAAAGACAGTCGGTGAACTCATTTGGTACACGAAATAGTACTTGAATATAATAAATTCATTACAATTTATGCAGAATGAGTTGAACACCATGTTGAGGCTGAAGAGTGATGACGGTAGTGAGAGCATGAGAATATGTTGGGGAAAGCTCGAAGGAGAAACATTGTAGAATCAAAGACAACGCCATTTTAGTTTCCAAAAAGGCAAAGTTCTGCCCGATGCAGATTCGAGGACCCCCTCCAAATGCAAAGAAGGCAACAGGAGTACCTTTTGATGCCTTTGAGATTCCTTCAGAAAACCTGTCTGGTTTGAACTCTTTGGCATCATCTCCCCACAACTGTTGGTCATGGTGCATCATAAGTATTGGTATGCAAATCTGTACTCCGCCGGGAACTAACAAGTTCCCAAGTTTCATGTCTTTTTCAACATACCGCTCTACCCGTACTATTGGTGGATATAACCTCAAAACCTCATACAGGATCATTGTAACCTGCAATGGCAAACTTCATAATTATACACGTTTGCGGCTCAATAGTGATATACATTTTTTATGTTTTGATAAAAAAAAATACTATATATGACACACAAACAAACATGCTTACAATCTTGAGGCGACTTAGTGCATCAAAGTCTGGTTTTTTGTTGCCAAAGACTCGCAGGACTTCTTCCCTCGCACGTGCTTGCCAATCAGGATACTTACTTAATAGCATCATAGTCCACACCAGTAAGGCTGAAGTGGTTTCTTGGCCTGCTATGTAGAACAACTTGCATTCATCAATCACATCTTTCATACTCAACCCAACGTTCTTCTTGTTCCCTTGTTCCTCAATCTCCTTGAGATTGGATTCTAAAAGTATCCCTAGTAAATCATTAGGTGTGGTTTCACCTGCCTTCATGGCTTCCTCCTTTTTGTTGATAATGTACTCCAGAGTAGCTTCCACATTTCTATCAATTGCCTTCATCCTCTTGTTCTCCTTAGTTGGTACAAACCTACAAAAACATTTCATCAGTACTTATCTTACAAGTGACAATCATAGATCACTACCATTTCAATGCATATCAGACTTGGTAATTACCTCCATAATGGAATTTGATGTTTCTGTACATTATTCATTACTAGTTCTGCTTGTTCTGTTAGGAGATCAAATATTTGTCTTCCTTCTTTGTAGCTGCTTCCAAAAGCTGCTCGAGAAATCACTTCCTTTGTCAAATTCTTGAGCCAAGGCCATACATCCACTTCACAAGTTCCATCCGTTGGAGACAATATATTCTCCCATTTGTTGATCATATCATTGCAACTTTGGCAAACGATTGGAAGCAGAATCTGTAGAGAGATGATGAAGTAACTAAGATACAAAGTGTAAGTGCTGTCTAATTTAGTAAGACAATAAGGGAGTAACCTTCATCTGTTGTAAATTGAATGCTGGATTGATAATCTTTCTGTGTTTAGCCCACTTGTCGCCTTCATAGCATGCAAGACCAGTGGATATATATTTGGTAATAGGAATCATGTTAGGTTTTATGAAGTCGTAGTTTCTGTTGAACATATCTTTTATCAGCAGAGGATCCGTAAGGATCAACCTCGGCATAGGTCCCAACCACATGAATGAATTCTTACCTGCGCTTCAATTGAAAATAAATTACTTTTCTATCCATTATATATATATATATATATGTATGTTTGTATGTATCATATAACTTGCATGGACAGCTTTTTTCTAATTAATAAATCTAGTATTGAATTGGCGTGTGAGGACTTTTCCTCCATATACGATTTGATGTTTACCACTTACCTATACAGACAAACAATAACTTTCAGAAACACGCGTTGACATATTTAATTAGCTAACTGTAAAACCATTTCAATTCCGAAGTTAAGAGGAAAAAAATCATATGAATAATTTTATTTAAATTTTAAAAATTAATTCTTTAGGCTACAATTATTTAAATTCAGAATAATGGATAAAATCATATCTCATAAATCTTGTACTGCTCTCAATTACCTAATTAAGATGGTTAAAATCAAAATTAAGAGAGAATGATATACCGTGTTTATTGGTTATGTAGTGGACAAAGGATAAGACGTGAGGGACCAGGTCATGGGAACGAATTGGCAAGGCCAAGGATTTGGCTTGTTGCTGCATCTTAACCATTCTGATCAAGTCACCAACCCAGAATCGGTAAGCATCAGCCTCAAGACCTTGACGTCTCAGAGCTGTCTGTAGCCTCTTTGGATTAACCCATAGCCACATCGTCATCTTCCAACCCCATCTTATCACTGTTATCACTCCTATTATCGCACCCACCACTGCTATTATGGTTGATGCTCCAGTCATATCTCTCCGTCTCCCTTGCCCCCCTCCTTCTCTCTCTGTCTGCTTTTGTGCTTATGGTGTGGGTTGTATACATACAGACACACATACATATATAGATATATATGACAATCTCAGTAGAGAAAAGAGCAAGTGAAAGACAACACATTGAATATTATTAGAAAGCCTTCTTGCCGGCCAACGCCGGCTCTTCTTTTTGGAATCTCTCTCTCTCTCTCTCTCTCGTGTTTTGGGATATTGTAAATAACTAAATAAGTTACATTGAGATAGCAAAAATAACAATTAATTAATTGATGGCATTATGACACGCGGACAATTGAAATATTAATGTGTCGATTGGAGCTAGAATGCCACCAAAATGGCCAAAGGTAATCTCCATATTCCCTGTGGGGTAAGGAATTTCATGGGCTTCATGGAATGGAAGTGAAATCAAAAACTCATTTTTACCCCCTCCCTCTCGCAGTCTTGCTTTCACCACTGCCTCCATCCCCGGTGACCTCTCTAGTGAGAGCAATGCAAGTCTGATCACCGCAACTGCCACAAAACTGGTGGTGAACTGTCATGAACTTCTATCAGAAACATCTCAGCACAATGAAATAACGTGGGTGTGTATTAAATATTCCGTCCAATTTGTGACAACTATAGACATTTGAAATACGTTCAAATAGCATTGTAAGGCAAATTGACAGAAAACAGGGGGAAAAAGAAGATACGAAGAGGAGGGAAAGCAGAAGAAAGCCACAGAATGAAAGAGAAATTCCCGAGATGTGAACAAAAATCATCCGCACACTTCTCATTAGCCCCTCTCCTCATATATATCATTGCTTTTCATGTTGTTGAGATTCCATTTGGTTACTGCTAACAGTACCATGCAAAGGAACCACATTTCTTAAAGGGAAAATGACATTGAGGTTTCACACAAGCAAATATACAGTAAAAAAGTTCCCTCAAATCTGATAATTCTTTTAAAGTCCCAAAGGGACTTGGCTGAAACTTTTAGAAACTTAAAAAAACTTTTTTGCCCTAGCATGGCAAAAACAAAAGATGCTGAGTTTCTCGCGTAGTGTAGCTCTGCTATGGTTGAGAGAGAGGATGTGGAGAAAGAAGGAAGCAACCATTGATAATGAAGTATCCTCCTCGTTACCATTAGTGAACTCTAAAGAGCTTTCATTTGAATATCCACAAATCTTCAGGTCTAGAACTTTCTTTCCTCTCATCTCCTCTCCTACAACATTTTTCTTGACAGATTGATTGTGTTTGAGAATGGGAATTCAGAAAATCATTTTTGCCTTTAGCACTACAAAGCTTTGTTTTTATTTAAGATGAACAAGTTAATTAATAAAAAAGCTGTGTTTTTGGTTGGTGTGTGTTGGTAATTTAAGTTGGGCTTGTAGGATGATCATGGATGCTCTGTTTTTCGGTATCTTGCAGGTGGTTTTGCTCTATTTTGACACAGTTTAGTGGCAAAGGAAGAAAAAGATGAAGGTTAGTATGGATATATAGAAACCCTTAGTATGAAATGAGATATTGTGTTGTCAATCAGGCTTTGATAGTTGTCAATATATGCCATGATAGTTGTCTATGTTGATGCTTCACTTGTCAATGACAGCTGCATGATTCTTGATGCAGGTTAATATTATTGATGGCGAGTATATTTGGAAAGCATCTATTTTGCTTTGTTCATATAGGGTGAAATTTATAAATGATGGAGAAGATGATATGAGATATGTGAGAAGTAGTATAAGAACAACAAGTATAAAGGAGGGCACAAGTTATGAAGAATTGAAGGAAATTATATCATCAATTATATATTGGAAAAGAAAGTAGCTCATTTCTTTTGAAATTTTCAGTTATGTTTGATAAAAGGAAAACATTTGTGGAGTTAGTAGATGATGATGGGGTAGAACATTTGATAAGGTTTAATGAAGGAACTGGTCATATATATGTAGAAGAGAATGGAAATAAGGACCATATAGAAGCAACAAAGGATAATACAATGGAGGGGCAAGATATATAAGTTTAGTTGAACAAATATGCTATTGTTATTTCTTGGTATGTCAGTTCTTACTGTCTTGCTACCAACTTGTCAATACATGCACCCTGACTTGTTATTTCCTACAGGATTGATCAATTATTTGGAGGTGTAAATGGATTGTCTATGTTTCCACCTACTTTGTTTGATGAGATTAGAGAGCCACCATCAATTTCTTGTGCTGTTGAAATGATTCCAACACCTACTATGACTCATATACTGATCCAAACATTCTTGCATCTACCCATAACTAGAAGGCCTCCAGGGAGGCCAAAAACTAATATGATAGAATCTCAATTCCAAAATAAGAAGGTTTATCATTGTGGAAGATGCAAAAAGTCTGGACACACTGCTAAGACATGCAAGAAACCAAATCCCAGCTAAGAACATATGGAAGTCAGCTATTTTTTGTTTATGGATGTGAATGGAATATTTTATAAATGGGTGTGAATGGAATTTTTTGTAAATAGATACACACCAATAATTACTTTGGTAATTATATGTAACCCCTATGTTTTTGTTGGGATGGGTTGTGAAGTAGGTGTAGTTTCATGTCTATGAAGGTGTAAATGAAAGTTGGCTATGAACTAGCATGTTTGATTCTGCTGTCATTTCAGTTGTAATTAGATGCACTCTACATTGTCAATAGACCTGTTATGACTTGTCAATTATTGCAGTATGACTTGTCAATTAATTTGCTGATGTAAGTTGTCAATAATGTGAATTCAAGTTACATAACCTCTTTTAGCATGATATGATATTTTCAATCACATTGACATATTACGTTGTGGTTATATTGTCATATATAATCATTATTAAAAGTCTATTATTACTAATATACAATTATAAAAGAATATGTCAATAATTACACTATCACTTGTTAATGGTGACAATATCAATTGTCATTGGTTGCACTATCGCTTGTCAACGTACCTACAGATATAAGTCTGAGAAAAATGTGATTTAAAGGTATATGATATCATTTACTATTGCTTGTTAATGGTGGCTATCCCTTGTCAATGGTGGTATTGTGACTTGTCAATAGTGGCACTGTGCTTTATATTTATTGTTCTTACACTACCTCCTACATATCTTATATCATCTTCTCTATCATTTATAAATTTCTCCTAATATGAACAAAGCAAAATAGATGCTTTCCAGATGTACTTGCCATAAATAATATAAACCTGCATCAAGAATCACGCAGCTGTCATTAACAAGTGAAGCATCAACATTGACAACTGTCATGGCATACATTGACAACACAATATCCCATTTCATACTAAGGGTTTCTACTCATCCTAATCTTTATCTTTTCTTTCTTTGCCACTAAACTGTATCAAAACAGAGCAAAACCACCCACAATATATCCAAAAACAGAGCACCCATGATCATCTTACAAACCCAACTTAAATCACCAATGCACACCAACCAAAAACACAGCTTTTTCATTGATTAACTTGCTCATCTTAGACCAAAAACAAAAACTTTGCAATACCAAAGGCAAAAACGATTTTCTAAATTTCCATTCCCAAACACAATCAATCTGTTAAGAAAAATGTTGTAGAAGAGGAGAGGAAAGAAGGTTCCAGATCTGAAGATTTGTGGAGATTCAAATGAAAGCTCTTTGGAGTTTACTAATGGTAATGGGAAGATACTTCATTATGAATGGCTGCTTCCTTCTTTCTCTACGTCCTCTCTCTCAACCATAGCCGAGCCACATTGTGCAGAAAACTCAGCATCTTTTGTTTTTGCCATGCTAGGATGAGAAACTCTTTTTAAGTTTCTGAAAATTGCAGCCAAGTCCCTTTGGGACTTTAAAATAATTATCAGATTTGAGGGGACTTTTTTGCTGGATATTTGCTTGTGTGGGACCTCAATATCATTTTTCCTTTCTTAAATGATCACAAGTCACGTGTCTTTTTTGGATCCCACCAATATTGTATATTCTCCTTCACATGAACCAATTTCTAAAACCTCCTCCATCCCCCTCTGATAGGGGCATTGGATTCATTTATTTATTTTGGTTTAATTTCTGACCTCTTCCCAATTCAATCTAAGAGAAATATATTACTTTTATTTCTTTGTTGCTGTACTATTTGCTTCCATTTTATGAAATTTTCCCCCATTTTGGATACGCATGGTCAATATCATCATCTCCGGCATTACTAAATTTTTTTGAAGAGGTAATTGTATTTTTGATAAATTGTTTTATATTCTTTGTGTAATAAGTAAATATTATGTTTTATTTTAAATCGACAAATGTTCGCCATTTCAAAACCCTCCACCATTTTTTGAGCTCCAAAACAGGGGAGGAGTTCGAAGTGATTCTTTGCTTAGTATTTCAATGCCTAGATGTGCCAGAAGCGTTTGCAGAAGTATAACTACATTCATTTACTTTTATTAACATAGTAGATATGGGTTGCTCTGAAATAATACACAAACCAAATAACGACAGTTGGTGAACTCGTACTTGAATATGATAATTCATTACAATTTATGCAGAATGACTTGAACACCATGTTGAGGCTGCAGAGTGGCGACAGTAGTGAGAGCATGAGAATATGCTGGGGAAAGCTCAAAGGAGAAACGTTGTAGAATCAAAGACAACGCCATTTTCGCTTCCACCAATGCAAAGTTCTGCCCGATGCAGATTCGAGGACCCCCTCCGAATGCAAAGAAGGCAACAGGAGTACATTTTGATGCCTTTGAGATTCCTTCAGAAAATCTGTCTGGTTTGAACTCTTTGGCATCATCTCCCCACAACTGTTGGTCATGGTGCATCATAAGTATTGGTATGCAAATCTGTACCCCTCCAGGAACGAAAAATTTCCCAAGTTTCATGTCTTTTTCAACATATCGGTCTACCCCTACTATTGGTGGATATAATCTCAAAACCTCGTACAGGATCATTGTTACCTGTAATAGCAAATTTCGTTTTAAATATATACATGTTTGTGGTTCAATAGTG